TGCCCTCCATAATACCCACCACCAGCTTCACCCAACCTCCCACCCCTGTCCCCTCCAAAACCCTCAGTTTGTTTCCCAGAGTCTACAGTCTCTCATGTACTTCTTTTCAAATGTTTTTAGTGATTGCCTACAGATTTCAGTATAGTTTCTACCATTTCATCTGTAGCACAGGTACCTTGTAACAGAGTATTCCCAATTCCTTCCTCCCATCCCTTATGATATTACTGTCATTCACTGCACTCATCTGTACCTTGTAAACATCATTTGTTCCAATCAGAGAATGTCCTTGAACTGCTGTTGGACTGCCATCTTGGGTTCCCTTTTAATGTCTCCGGGATTAGATCCACTGGTTTCTAATTTTCACATCTTCCTCAATATTGGATTACTTGCCTCTTTTTCTAAATCCAACACATTGAATTTTTAAAAAATATTTATTTATTTATTTTAAAGAGAGTGAATTGGGGGGGAGGCAGAGGGAAAAGAGCAGAGGGAGAAAGAAAATGAGAATCTCAAACAGGGTCCGTGCTCAGCACACAGCCCAAAGCAGGGGCTTTGTTGCATGACCCTGAGGTCATGACCTGAGGCAAAATCAAGAGTCAGAAGCCTAACTGACTAAACCACCCAGGTGTCCCCATATTGAATCTTTTTAAGAGTGAGTGTGAGCTGCTCAGTATTAGACATCTATTTATTAGATAAATAAATAAACACATTAGAACCATGCTAGGTGACTTAGTTTTAAAGCTTTTTATATACATAAAGGAAATTTTAAAAAATTGTAGTAAAAACACTCAAGATTGATGTTTGTAGAGTAAAATTTCTGAGCTTACATATCTGAAGTTGTCCTGATTAGCACTGAGTATGGAAGAGCTGGCTTTACAGTCACTATTACTGATGGGATGTCTCTCTCAAGTTATTCTTGCCATCATTCCTCCACAGTTGACCAGTTTCTTGATGCTTACTGGGAGCTTTTAAGTTTTTCTCTTTGTTTTTTAGGTGTCATTTCATAATGAGGTGCTTTGGTTTATGTCTTTTTAAATTTAAAGAATATAAAAATAAATTAAATTTTAAAATGTAAAAAAGTTTTTGAAAATTTAATTTTTTAAATTTTAAATTAAAAAATTTTTTAATTTAAATTTTCAAATTTTAAATTTAAAAATACCCTTTAAAAAATTTATGTCCCTCCACTCTGTGATATCTTTTTAAGTAATTCTCTTGATATGTTCCTCCTCTGCAATGTCCTTGCACAGCTTTCTTGACTCCAGTTAAATGGCTATTAGACTACCTAAATTTATCTTAATGCTTTTATATTTTCTTTCAAATTTAGGTTTTTTTCCCTTTTAATCTCTTAATTTTCTGGAAGACTTCTTCAACTTTGTTTTACAAGCATTTTAGTAAACTTCAGTAAATTTCCAAAAATCAATTTTAAAATTATCTAAGACCACAATCACTTTCTTTCTTTGTGTCCTGGCATGCAGTGTGTATTCTCAAATCTCTCTAAAAATATTAGAGGTTTTGAAAGTTTCTCATTTCCTACAGTATCTCTGTTTCTCCCAGGATAACTATTTTCTCTTTTTGTATGTTATTCTTTCTGATATTTGAGAATTTTCTTAAAACTCTGCTGACCTGTGGTTATCTGTTCCTACTTAAGAGAAGGCTCTGGAAATTAATTGATGTGATTCACTAAATTAAAGAATAAAGAAGGAAACTCATAGAACTATCTCAGCAGATGCACTTGATAATATTCAACATCTATCACAGCAAACAAGGCATAGGCAATACCTTCCTCAGTCTCGTTAAAAATACACACACACACACACACACACACACACACAAACACACAGTGTATACAGCAAACATCATACTTAATGGTGATACTAAGTGCTTTTTTTTTCTAAGATTGGAAACAAGACAAGGAAGTCTACTACACTTTACTACTTTTCTTCAACATTGTGTCTAAACTCCTAACGAGTATAATGAGAAAGAAAAAAAATAATTGTTGGGAAAAGAAAAGCAAAGTTTTGCTTACTGCTGACGTGATTATTTATTTTCTATAAAATCTAAAAGAAATCTACAAATACATTACTGGAATACAATTTAGTGGGATTATAAATACATGGTTAATATTTTCAAAAACCAGTTTTAATCCCATCCAATTATAACAAGCAATTTAATAAGCAATACCATTTAAAGCAATACCAACTTAAAAAGCAATACCATTTCTAGTTAGGAATAAGTTTAATGAAAGATGTGTATGAGTTCTTTTTTTAATTCAATTTAGTTAACACAGTGTATTATTAGTATCGAGGTAAAATTTATTCATCAATTACATATAACACCCAGTGCTCATTACATCAAGTGCCCTCCTTCATGCCCATCACCCAATTACCCCATCCCCCCATGACCTCCCCTCCAGCAACCTTGTTTGTTCCCTATAGTTAAGAGTCTCCTATGATTTGCCTCCCTCTCTGTTTTTGTCTTATTTTATTTTTCCTTCCCTTCTCCTTTGTTCATCTGTTTTGTTTCTAAAATTCCCCAGCCTAGAGGTATATGACTTCTTTACTGAAAACTATGAACTCTTCTGGAAGGAAAACTAAATAAATGGAGAGATATTCAATGTTAACAGATTAGAGCTCCATATTATTATCAGTTGTAACCCAATTTATCTGAAATTTCAATGTAAACTGAATAAAAATCCCAAAGGCTTTTCTTGTAGAAACTGACAAATTGATTTTAAGAGACATATGGAAAAACAAAAGACCTAGAAAAGCCAAGACAATTTTTCCCCAACTGATTTCAAGACTTTCTATAAGCTATAGAGTCTGCAAGCCAATATGCTATTGGCATAAGGACAGACAAACAGATCAGTGGTACAAAATAGAAAATCCAGAAATAAACCCATGCTTACATTGTAAATTGCTTTTTGAATAGTTCCATTAACTTGTGGTAGGCAAAGATTTCTTAGTACATTAAAGTTATTAACCACAGAAAAAAAGAATTGATGGAATTGGCTTCCTCAAAATTAAAAATTTCTCCTTATCAAAACACGTGGTTAAGTGAACCACAGACTGGAAGAAAATGTTTGTAATACATGAATTAAACGAAAACACTTCTCTCCATAATCTAAAACAAACTGCTACACATCAGTAAGTAGTAAAAGACAACCCGACAATATAAATGGGTCAAAAACTCGAACAGACACTTTACAAAAGGAGATGTATGAATTGCCAATCAGCATATGAAAGCGTGCTCAATGTCATGAGTCGTTAAAGGAAAGAAATTAAAACTGTATGAGATCCTACATCATACTCATGAGAATGGCTAAAATGAGAAAAACTATTTCTAATAGACTGCAAAAAACAGTTTGGCAGATTCTAAAGTGGCTAAGCGTACTCATGCAATGATCTGCTCCTAATTATTTACCCAAGAGAAATGAAAACGTCATGCCGTAAAAGGAAGTGTACAAGAACAGCGGCTTTATTCATACAAGTCCCAAACTGGAATCAGTCTAAGTGTCCATCAACAGGAAAATAAATAAGCAGATTGTGGTAGGTCCACACAATGGAATACTTTCACCTAAAAAAAGGAACAAACTTCCATTCATCCAGCAGTATGGATGATGAGCAAATGTCAGGCATAAAGGAAACATGATGGATTATCCATGTATATGAAACCCAGTAAGAGGCAAAATTCACACGTGATAGGTCAGCAATGTTTGCCTTTGAGAGGCCGCCTGGCTCTAGGGGGTCAGCTTGTAGGGTGAGGGTTAGAGGTGCACTGTTCCATTCTCCATTTTAAAAATAACATGTATGTTTTCAGCACCCTGTCTCCCTTGTGATCTCTACTGCCTCTTCGGGGTTCTTCAGGGCATACTTGTTTTTCTGACCTCTGGGAACACCCTTCACCTACAATAGTAATTATTAGCACTCTTCTGACCACTTTTGTCATTGAGATTTTCATTGAAATCTCTCTTGGGCTCATTGCCCCACAATTCTCTTTGTCATTGTGAATCCAATTTCTTTATTATCATTTTAGCAGGGCTTTTAATAAAAGAGAAGACAAATGCTTCTTTTCTATCTGCAGTCTTTGAACTGAAACATTTCTTTTGCAGGAATTTGACATAACGATGTGACATTATTATTCCCCGAGGCATACTAAGTGCTGAGAAGTAGCAATAATTCTCTTCTGGTTTGACAAAGAAAGCTTCTAAGTCTTTGTGTAACACAAGATGTTGATTAAAACATTATTATCAGAGCAATAAAATGATCAACTAAAAATTGGAATTATAGACTGAGGTTTAAAATTACTTTCACAAGAAACATCAGTGATTTCTGAAATTCAGATGCCTGAAAAGATTCACTATATATAACAATAATCAGCATAGATTTATATTAACACAAAGTAGGACCAGATGTCCCAGGAGAAATGTTTGATATTCTTGTGATATTATAAATTTATACTGTTTCATGTCACTATTAACCACATCTTATCCTTTATAAACTAATTTTATAATGTAGGATAGCATTTCTCTTAACATAACTGGTTTTTATCTTTCTGATATTTTTTTTCCTCTTAGTTGTTAAGTATTTTCAAGGTTAAACTTTTATCCCATGGCTTTCCTTTTTTCTAAAATTGTTTTATTGGAGTATAGTTTATTCCATTGCTTTTCATTCCTTTGTTCACTCCATCTCAATTTTGTTTAAATTTAATTTTTTTTAATTACAAAAATATTTCAGATATGTGAAGGTATCTTTATAATGGCTTTGATCCACACAGATTGGAATAGACTTTTTCAGTCCCACACTTAAGTCTTTCTTAACCTTCATGCTTTCTTCATCATGTCTTTGCTTATTATTTCAATTCCATTTATTCTGTCTCTGCTCAGCCCTATTTACTTTATATATGTTAGTTTTTCCCAGCTTATTGTTCATATAAATCTTACAGCCTCCACAAGCATCTTGGAATCTTGATGACCATTTTCACATGGTATCCTTCCTTCCTAGGACATCCACAGAAGACCAGTACAATGATGACAGACTTGTCTATGAGACTCTATTCAAACATTTCAAAAGACACAAGGTGGAGATTTCAAATGCAATAAAAAAGCCATTTCCTTTCTTTGAGTGCCTCCGGGACCGTGAACTCATCAGCAATAAAATGTATGATGTAAGTGATGTTTATTATGTCACTCTTTGGTAAACTGGCCCCAAATGGAGTTATATTTTGATATCTTGGACCTAAACGTCAGGCACAACTAACTGACTAAGGAGTCTCCTATGAGTGGGGACTTTTTCAAGTATTGTTGCAGGTGTTACCATAAGGTAAAAAGGAAAAGGAGAATTAGTTGTCACCAGAGATAATCCCGCTTCTCACTGAAGGAAAGGTGCTTTGTCCTGCCCCCTGGAGTTGGGCTGAATAGCATAGCAAATGGGCTGAACCTGAAGCAGAGGTGCTCCATAGATGTATAATGCCTTGTAGGAACACGTAGAATATAACATAAACTGAGAATTAAAGGTAATTTTAATAAATTGATGTAAAACTTAAGTGAGTTAATTTAATAAAATAGTAATTGACAGATATCATTTCAGTGGGCATCAATTTGAGTGCTTAGATCTGAGAACATTAAAATCTACAGGGAATTGATGTCCTATTGGGAAATTTGGGAATTGATGATTATTATTCTTTTGCTAACAGTTTTCAGTTTTTAGGGCTTTTTTGTTTTGTTTTTTTCTATTTCTCTTTCTTTTTTTGTGGTATTTCTGGAGTCTTGGAATTTGGGTTTGATTTTATCAATAGGCATTGCTGGACATACAGAGATTCAAGTCTTCTCTTTGCCGTGTGAATATACATTCTCTGTGGCCAAATTCACAAAAGGAGACAACTATCACAGGGTTTCCTTGAGTTCTTCCAGGCCAAGTCCATCCTGGGGAAAGGGTAAAAGTCATCCCTGGAACAGGACAGCTGCTCATCACCTCTTAGTCTATTCCTAAAACATCTGGCCAGGTTCCTAAAGAGCTACACATCATTTAACTTTGAACCCACTGTTATTCTTCAAAACTGCTCTTACTTATATGTAATGTAGATGAAGGTAAAGAGAGATCTGTTTCACAAGTGAATGTTTTTGAGGAGGCAGGATTTACTTGTTTCACGTAGTATCTAAACAAATAAATAGAAATTCTAAAACTTTATGAGAAGATACCTGTGGAGGGAATTGGAAAACATTACCCATGAAATCACTTTCTAGGGCTCTTCTGTAACTTGGAAGTCTGTATTTATATTCTCTCCATTCAATATTTTTTTAAGGATTGTCAAGATTCTTGTAGAAACCTGGTCCCTGTACCAAGAGTGGCGTATAATGTTCTCAATGAACTGGAGAAGACATTTGACCTGCCACTTCTGGAAGCATTGTTCAGCGAGGTCAACAGGCAAGAATACCCTAATTTAAATCACATTTACAAGAGCTTCGAATTTGGTAATTGGGTTTATTATCTACCTTTTGACATCCAGGGCCACTTTCTTTTTTTTTTTTTTTTTTTTGGACAAATATAAACTGAGAGCCTACATTGTTCCACAGGCAGTGCTGGGGCAAGAAGGATATAACAGTAGAGAAAATACAAATTGTGAACCTTCTCAAAGCTATGGTATAATAACTATGGTACAACAACCACCTAGAGTAGAGGTCTGCTTAACTAGGCATTTAGACTCACAGGACAATCAGAGCCAAAGTGGCTTCAGATTTACTTAGAAGGACAAATGATAGGAAACCCAGCATCCCCACAGGGCAGCATCAGTTGCTCCTCTTCTGTGGGACTCCTTGTGGAGAACCACACAGCGGTCCACCAAGGTGACTACTACTTGCCTCGAGTGTCTGTGGATGTAGGCTGCACCCTGGCTTAGCAGCACCATGCCCATGTAACAGTGCTCAGTCATGTAACAGCGCTATAGTCGTAACGTTCGGGAACCCTACCAGGGACAAACCAAGTTGTAAGTGTCACCACTTTGAAGGAAGACCAAAGCCTGCTTTGTAATCTGTAGATAGTCCCTCCCCACCCATGCAATTTACCAGTCGTTTTTAACTCTATACTAGAGCCAAACTAGGTATTAACTAGGCTGATGTTGGCCTAGCAGAAGAAAACCCACCTTCATCAGGTTTCCAAAGTAATGAGCCAGAAAGTTAACCCAAGGTCAAATTTACACTTAAAGAAGGAGAATTGGTTTCGTTAACTCTTTCTCCACAAGGGGTGAAACAAACATTATTCAAATAATCACAAAACTAAAGGCTTAATTCTCAATTTTTTTCCTGGGAAAACATGATTTTTATTTTATTTTTAAAATAACTTTATTTTAATTTATTTTAAGAACTGCAAGAAAGAGAATGCTCTTTATATATCTATATAGAGATATATAGATATTTTAACTTGACTGGGAAACTTTTTATTCCAACACAGTTTGGTGCCAGTGGAGTTCTCCAGATAAGGGATAAAAACATAAGAAGAATGTCGCTGTGTCCTGAAGAGGGCTGGCACTATGCAATCAGGCATGGAGTGTGAAAGGACCTAGTGTGTCCTCATAGACAAATTCAATTTGTCTCAGAGAGTGAGAAGCAGAATGTGGAGCTGATTCATGAGAGATAAATTTGAAGAAAATTTTAGGAAGTTAACCATATAAAGCTAAGCAATTGAAATGTTATTAGTAGGCAATAAAGAGATATCAACAGTTTTTATAAACAAGGAAAAAAAAAAGCATGTATAAAGCATGTGGTTTGTCGACTTGTGTCAGTAGTAACCCTATCTAATTAAAAACAAAATAATTTCAACAGCAGGTCAGTCCACTTTGAAATGGAATAAAGGCAATTGTCAATATTATATTGGTAACCAGCATGTCCTGGGCCATGGGAACAGAGGGAATGGTGTATACTTGTACTGCCCACATCTCAGGGGCTCTGATTCTCTTCATGGACTGCAGGGACACCCCCCCCCTTTCCAGGTTCAGTGTGCACATCGCCTATATGTGGAGCTCCCTGAGCTGGGGTGCCCTTCACCTACACTTGTTCCCACCCACCTGCCCCTGGGAGATGGCAGCAGTTGCCTCCCCCACATTGTTGTCCACGGGAGCTGTGCATCAGCGACCCAAAGCCCAGAATCTGGGGGCTGTGGCCTGGGGTGCAGCACACTCTCCTGCTGCTCAGTCCCACCTTCATCCCATGCTCAGAGCCCCCTGAGCCCCAGGGGACCACCTACACGCACACAGACCCCTTCACCTTTCCCTTTGTTCTCCTCGAATCTTCCACCTGGTTTTGCCAGGGTCTGAGGCCAGGTCCTGGGGTGACAAAGCATCCGTGGCTCCCACTATTCCGTGCAACTCACCCGTGCAGGTCCTGCCCCAGGAGGAGCTCCTGCCATGGGCCCTGGAGCAGCAGGTTCCCTGACTCTGTAGGGTCCCCTCCTCCCTGAACTCCCCACAGACATCCTCCCCACCTCCCTCCAGGCTTCCTAGTTTATTTCCTTCCTTCCATGTGTGCTGGGTCACCTACAGGCAGGTGCTGGGCTGGTGTCCCTCCCTCCCCTGATTGGCGACCTCCCCAGCCCTGGGCAGGCCTGTGGGGAGATCCTCCAGTGCAGCTATCCATGCTCCCTGCTCAGAGCTGCAGAATGTCCTTCCTCTGTTCCTGGTATCTGGGCCTCTGGGAGGTCTGTCTTGTTCCTCCAGGTGTCCTCTGCTTTGTCTCTTTGGGAAGCGCTCACCTTCCCCACCCCAGCCCTCCTCTTGTCTAGCAGCATCTTAAGAGCAGCTGGACTTTTTCTTTCATACCTGTGGGTCTCTCTGAGAGCCTAGCTCTTCCCCAGAGGAAATACCTATTTCTTCCTTTCAGTTTGAACAGTTCAGAAACACATTTCACTTCTATTATTTACTTTGATATATGCTTTTCCTGCCCATCCGCAAATTCTTTTACAAGAGTAACAGCATCATGATGATTCCTTACACTGGAGTGGCTCCTTTCTGTGTGGGAAACATAGACTCTCTTGATGGGAGTTCCCTTTTCTATCCCAGGGATGATGGGGGAGCTTTACAAGGAGGATCAGAGGCACTGAGCTTGAGTGACCTGAGGCTTGGGAGTTGTTAACTGTGTAATTTCGAGGTGTTGTTCCTGGTCTCTGATGGGATCCTGTTGCCTCCTTCTGTCTCCCTGTCTTCAGCGATCCAAGAGAAAATTAATTACCAAGAAAGTGATGAAGAAGAGGTGGACAACAGTCCTAATACCCAACTGAGCATTGAACAAGGTGACTGTAACCCGATAAACACTGATTCTCATCTGCAAAGAAGAAAAGGAGAAAAGAAACTCAGCCCTGAGTCCTGAGTGTATTTGGGGAATCAGGGAAGAAGTGTTAAGGACCAAGGAAAAGGCAGGGAGGGGTGTTTGCATGAGTATCTAAGTAGAGGCCAAATCCTGGAAGAGTAGCTATGACAAGAGACCATTGGCTCAATAACCAAGACAAAGGGACAGAATCTCAGTGTGAGAGTAAACCAAATTTAAGCAGATGCGCTGTCAGGAAGTAACTGTGATTTAGAAAAGTCCCTGTAGGAAAAGATCCGATGTGAAGCTGTAAAGGGCCATGGTCAAAATCAAATGATGGCGGAAGGGCTGATTTCAATGTGGGGGATGTTGTTCAAGAGCCCAGAGAGTCAAGAGGAAAGCCAGTCACACAGAGAGAGAAAAGAGGAAGTGGTAAAAAGATGGAAGGGAGGGTGTGGGTACTTTGAGTGAGAGAAGGAGGGAAATGAAAGAGAAGAAAGCGTTAAAAGACACAATAGAAATAGCTGTGTTATTAACATCTCACTGGTTGAACATTTATGGGGACAGTTGTAGGTTTAGTGGTCAGGCTACCATTGGAGGTTGGCATTGCTTATGTGCCCATTTTACAGATAAGGAAATTGAAATCCAGAGGCTGTGTGTTTTGTTGGCCTAGGGTCAGATGAGCAAGGGTGAACCCAGGCCTTCTGAACCCAGAGCCTGTGTGTGTGTGTGTGTGTGTGTGTGTGTGTGTGTGTGTGTGTTAATGGAAGTAAAAATTCACATAACATAAAATTAACCATTTTAAAGTGTATGGTTAATGATATTTGGTGCATTCACAATATTGTGCAACCACTACCTCTGTCTGGTTGCAAACATTCTGATCACCTCAGAAGGGAACTCCATATCACTCCCTGCGCCCCTCTTGCCTAGCCTCTGGCTACTACTCATCTCATTTCTGTCTCTTTGGATTTACCTATTCCAGACATTACACGTAAATGGAATCATATCAACACGCCCTTCATGTCTGGCTTCTTTCACGCAGCTCAGTATTTTCAGGGTTCATCTATGTTGTGGCATGAATGTGGTTCTTCATTCCTTTTTCTTGGTGAAGAGCATTCCCTTGTATGGATATATTCATCACATGTTGCTTATTCATTCTTCAGTTAATGATGGGTGGTTTCTACCTTCTGGCTGGGACAGAGGCTGCATTCTTAACCCTGTACTGCCACTCCGGTATTCTAATGGAAAAGACAGAAGCATGAGACAAAAGGGAAATGTATGCAGAGAAAGATCCAGAAAAAAGAATACCAAGAATGGAAGGAGGTAGAGGAGAATTGGACATGGAATCCTCAAGGAAAGGCCAATGAGAAAGACGGAACAGATATGTAGAGGGAGGGTGTAGAGGAAGAGGAGGTGGGGATGAGTCAGCAGGGCTATGTAGTACCTAAGTAATTCCACTGGTCAGGGAAAGCTCTGGGAACAAAGGCAACTTCACTATGGCCATGGGAGTCAGGATAAGCTATCACCAGTTACTCAAGTGCTTCGAGTTGGACATGCAGTGAGGTGGTCTGGCTGAGACCCTTTTAGCCCGGGGTGCAGCTGACCCCATTCCTCTACTCTGCCAGTTAGGGTCTGACTGCAGGTGTTGCATGGGATCTGTCAAGTCCACATGATCTCTGTATGGCTACCTGGAGGAGATCTTCAATTCTTGCTTTATAAAAAATGGGATTAGGGGAGAATGGCACAGAGAATACTTCAATTTCTGAAATGAACTTGCAATTTCTTCCCCCTAGGAACTGGTGAAAACTCTTATCGAAGCCTGACCTCGTCGTGCCCCCAATCCTCATCTTACCACGGTCTGTTCCTGTTGACTGTATTCTGATCCTTTGTGTTCTTGTCCCATTCTGGAATGTGCTGAGATGTGGTGGGGGCCGGTGGGGAGGGGGGTTGCAGGGGTGTGTGTGTTTTTTTAATCACTGATTGCCTAGAATTTCTGTCTTTACTTCTCAATTTCTGTAAGGAAGTCCTGGGGTGTTTGCCCTAGGATTCATTCCTTACCTTCCCCTGTTCTGCTCTGCCCTCTATCTCTGGCCACTGGCCCCTGTGGACTTACTTGCTAGCTCCCCCTTTGTTGCTGGCTTCCTGCTGGGTTGCAGACATGGGACACTAACAAGATATCAGAGAACAGGAAAAAGGGAGAAGCTGGATATTCCCCCATCACTGCCTTTGTCTACAAATCTGAAAGTGGCTGCATCTCATCCATGATACCACTTCCCACCAAGCAGGCCAGCCATGGGCCACCTTCTATCCACCCAGTGACCCTGACCTCGGAGCACACCCTTGGTCCCTCCCACAGTGTCCTATTAAGTATTCTTCTGGTCACTGCATTCTTCTATTTGGACTTCAATTGTATATATCAATTGTATAACCAACCCCTGGATGGAATTCCCTGTGCTGCAAAACCTTAGAGTGATTTGTATTTTCTTGTTGGACCCTGATTGATGCAGAGGGCAAATAAAATATCTATGAATTAAAACATGGTTTAGGCACAACCCCATCCAAAAATGGGCCCTTGGAGAACCTCTGTGAACCAGAGCAGATAAATGGAAACAGAACAGATATACCCAGTGACAAAAATGATGCACAAGAAGTCCAACAAGCAAATGAGGAATATGCCCAAGAATCTGAGCCAGCAGGTAAGACTGATTGCCTGGGTTTGCATGATTGTAGAGGCCTAAGCAGTCCTTGTTGGTGGCAGAGAATGGAGTCATGCTGAATTTAAGGAAACATCTATTAACAAAGAAGGGAAGCTCATGCAGATATAGAGAAGGCAAGAATGTAGCTTGATATATTGATGGGAGGAAGGAAATTAGGAAGTGTTGGCTTTTGCAAGCTACTTATTTTTTACTGGATTAAAAGCTGGTATTGGGTGAGATCGGAATTGCCAACTCCTACAATTTTCCTGCTGATAAAAAATGCTAAGTGAACTAATTTGTACTGTTTAACTGGAAGAGCAATATTTGCCTACATGTAATGGAAAATATACAAAATATGTTCCTGGTGCTTTTAAATTTTCTCAGTGTTGGAATACCTCTTATTGATAGAAAAGTTGCAGTGCTAGGGGATGAAAATGTATTCTGACTTTAAGATCTTCAAAAGCTACTAAGAAAATTAAAGGAGTACACAGACAAATAAAATACAAAGCAAAATAAGAAATATGGGCTGTGAGAGACATGGGTACATGCTATAGAAATTTAAAGAGAAAAAAAGATTGTTTCTGGCTAAGGAGCAAGGCAGAGAAAATCAGGACATGCTATAGTAGTATCAGTTTGCATACAGCCTCAGCAGAAGAAACTGGATATTAAGTTTAAAGATACCCAAATTTGAAGAAAAAAGAAAAAAAATTTCACAGTATACATTTAAGTGTTGGGGCCCAGGGCACGCTGTCCTAAAATGTGCCATTTAGGCATAAAGATTATTTTGAGTTAAAATAAAAATGTAGCAGATGCAGGAAAGGTGCTCTGCCTTCTCCATAACTGCCTCAATATACCCTGGAAAGGAGAGCCTATTCCAGCAAGAGAAATACTAACAGAGACTCCGCTTGACCTAAGAAAGAACTTACCTGTATAATAGAACAATGTTACATGTTTTTCCAAACATCTCCTTTGACTTTCTTGCTAATGACTTTTCTCCCCTCTGTATCCTCAGGCCCCTATCCCTCTCCCAAGCTCATATAAGCTTCATGTTGTCTCATGATGTTTGGAATCCCATGTCCATGTGGATTCCCCATATGTATGCCTATTAAATTAGGTTTTCCTAAATTAAAAAAGAAAAAGAAAAGAAGAGAAAAGGAGAAAAGAAAAGAAAAAAAGGGAAAGGAGAGGAGAGGAG